GAGAGGAAAGAAAGGAAGGAGAAGGAGAGGAAAGAAAGGAAGGAGAAGAAGGAGAAAAAGAAGGAAAAGAAGAATAACGAAAAGAAGAAGGAGAGGAAAGAAAGGAAGGAGAAGAAGGAGAAGAATAACGAAAAGAAGGAGAAGGAGACGAAGAAGTTCGTCTATATTTTGTGTGATACAGGAACGCAGATCGTCTTCATGTTCACCGAGCAAATGGCCACCGTCTCTCTTCAGAGCACGTCCTACTACAATCTGCTGTCCGACACTTCCCCTGGGTCCTCCAGAGCTGCTTTTCTGTCGGCCACAGCTTTGAGCAGTTTCTTCCTCGGTCCCATGCCGAGACCGAGCGCCTTCAAGTCGTCTTCCGTGAGGAGCATCAGGGCCTGCAAGTCAACCTGTTCACCGACGAAACAGCTGGTGAACTCGCTCAGCCCCGCGGACATCAGAAAGAGTTGCAGCGGAGACCACTGCGGAGGATTGTCGCTGGTGTCGTCGTCATCTGGATGGATTAATAAGTTAATTAACTGACGTACCGATACGAAACTTTGTGCTCAGTCACTGCAAACCACAATAACAAGTCTCGGCTGAATAAATATTAATGTTATCAGACGAAAATATTATTTTGTTGGCTGTGGCCTTCTTGGCAACGATGCCACGTGGTAGTGTATGCGGTTTCTCGGACTTTCTGCCTGAAATTCCAATCTCTAGAGCTAAACTTTAATTATTTAATTAGTTCACATTCGTAATGCGATTTCTGAAGACTTTGTGTTGAATGCAGTACAAAATTATGCATTCACGTGTCACATTTTCATACCAACTCAATTTTAACTGCTTGAATCCATGTTTTTTCTCGGTTGTAATGCCACGTGGTCTGCCTAAGAGTCAGTCCGCGTGGCATCACGACCCAGAAGATCGACATTCACATCTTGGCCACTGCGAGAACCTCAAATCTTGCTAACAGTAACGAAACAAGACTTATCTGAGATTTATCCTGCGACCAGCCACCATTCACATGAAAATATTATATATTAAGTATATATTAAATCTTGTCCGTCTAATCACAATAAATTCTTATTAAATATTACAATAATTAACATTATATTGTTTAGAAATGTATTATGAATCACTTTAAAAATAAAATATCTAAAATTTTACGTAATGAAACAGTTTTGATGTTTGTCTCCTGGGATTTCTCGAAAGCTGAAATTAACCATTTGTAAATTATTTTTTTTTTACGACTGTCGAAATATAAATCCGCACACGAAGTTCGAAGCTACAACAAAAATGGCTTATCGTCAGATTATCTGAGCGACTCACCGCTCTCGACGTCCTCGTCGTCCCACGGAAGTGCCTCCGTGTTGTGCTGGTTGCGTTTTGCGAGGCTGCCCGCACTTCCAATGCTACATTCCTCTATCCCACTGCCTCCGCCCCCTTTCTCGCTGTTCGACGTCATCGTGCTCGCCTTATCATCTGTTCTCGGTAGAGCACTCAACGTCGCGCTAATACTGTTCCTGTAAAAATGACCTATCAGACGAGGCTTTCTTAATGAACGTAACTTATATGGTTCACACTCTCTTAAGTCGAAGCAGACGGCTTCAGTGCGATAAAATGTGTCATCTGGCGCAAAAGACAACACGTCGAAACGTAACCTAGGCCAATAATATATAAATAAAAAAAATGTGAATTTTGTGGTTTTCGCGATCTCAAATTTGGAAATGACGTTTTCAGAAATTCTGTTAACGAAGCTTTCCTCTCGCTGTTACCTGAAAGCCACGCTTCCAAAGCCAGGGCGGTCAAATATGCTCGCAGGTTCTTGAAGCAAAACTTCATCCCCAAAGCCACTGTCGGGGTTGTGTAGGAACTCAGGTTCTGATGTGGAGCGGATCAGTTCCCCTCGAGTGTCAAATACATCCCCAATCTTCCCTCTTTGCTTTCCTGTCAAGAGGAAAATATTAACACGTGGCTGAAACCAAATTGAAGATAAAATCCTGAAGGCAAGTGCTCACTTGGAAGACCTAATCGTAGATGGGAGGATTCTATACAGGATGACTAACGGCGATATTTTTAAAACGATTATAAAAATCTATAAGCGAATTTTGGCCTCCGGAGACAGTTGACATCTCGTGAATATCCAAATAAAATATAATAATTTGTCATTTATTGAAATAAAATATAATAACTTTCAAGTATACGTCATTTATCCACACACATAGACCTAACCTAACTTAACCTAACTCAACATAACCTAACCTAACTTAACGTAACCTAACTTAACCTAACTCAACATAACCTAACCTAACTTAACGTAACCTAACTTAACCTAACTCAACATAACCTAACCTAACTTAACGTAACCTAACTTAACCTAACTCAACATAACCTAACCTAACTTAACGTAACCTAACTTAACCTAACTCAACATAACCTAACCTAACTTAACGTAACCTAACTTAACCTAACTCAACATAACCTAACCTAACCTAACGTAACCTAACCTAACCTATTTTTAAAGCGATGTGTCCCGACACAGAAAACACGCGGGACAGAAACCATTCTAGTCGAAATTCTGAGTTAAGTGATAATAGTCTCTGGTCTGGATAATATCTGTCAAATTTCGTCGTGTTCTCCACGAAAGTCGCTGAAAAATCCTTCTCGTCAGAGCGCTTTGTCGTACGCTACAAATATTTTTTAAAAAACCACTTTATATCATATAAACGTCATGAACAAACTCAAGATATCTGATAAAGAAAAATGACACGCTACTTTTGAGGGGGTACAGACATTTTAGACAACATTTTCCGTGTTGATGAAACATGGTTCCACCAAAAAATGTCGAAAATCTATGTACATTTTTCCATCACACTCAACCGATGATAATTGGTACCACTTTCTTCATCTGAATGTTACCAGAAATGGATTTATGAATTCAATTTCTCTTTTGGAACTTTACGAACGAGATTTTCGATGTAATTAATACTTAATTAGTTTCATGTCGTAAAATTACGATTTTGTGACGTCTTCACGTAACAAATTTAAATTCTTCGTTAGAGTAAATTGAAGTTTGTAAAACTTTACCTCCTGCCTGGGTATCGTATGATCCAGCATACATGACCTCTGAATCACGTCGAAGGCCTGTCAGGCTACGTACAGAGCGTTTGCCGTCCATCTCGACCTGGTGAGAACACACGACACGTTTACGTTCAGACTATGAATGAGAGGAAGGCAACGTAATTGAAGGCACTGTCGTGGCATTTGTCGGGAGGGACTGAGAAAACCATGAAAAACCTCAGCGATGATAACCAGGATTTGAACCCAGTACCTCCCGAATACGAAGCAGGAGTGGTAACTTAAGCTTCTTGTTCTTGGTACAATATTTTGAATTAATTTAATGTAAAAATATTATCTTGAGCATTTTTTGAACTCGAAGCGATGTCAGAGAAATGCTTACGGAGTTTCTGATATCTTTCCGTTCTTTTGCAGATAAATTTTTTGTCTTAGAGACAAAATATATATTTACTTATATTATATATAAAAAAACACGTAATTGAAGCGACAGGAAACATAAACATTTAAATAATTAAAAATTCGACATTTTTATTTGTCTCGTACGTCATGAAATTCAAAAAGAAGTTAAGTTTTTTCTGATTTATTAAAACACTTCTTGGGAAGAGTTCATGAAATTAAAAAAAAAGTTAAGTTTTTTCTGATTTATTAAAATTTTAAGAATTAATTATTAACTTTAGAAAGTGTTTTTGAGGCCTAAAAATGTGTCTTAAACTCAGTAGCCTAAGAAATTTCTAAAGACCGAGTCTCGCGAAATAATAACTTCACTTCACTGAGAAAAGAAAGGAAGAATGAACCAGTTACCTGTCCTATCTTGAAGTCACCTGCCCCTTGTTTGTTGTTTGTAGTCGGTTGTTGGCTCTTATTCATCTTCTGTTGTAATTTCTTCTGAACACCGGTAGCCCCTAATTTCTTCGCCCCGCTTATCACAGTTCCAGTTCCCCCCCCGCTGACAATCTCCGAAAACCGAGGACTCGGGTTTACGTTCGCATTTGAATGTCCAGAATTCATTTTCCCCTTCAGCTTCAGAATTGTCAAAATATTCGACGGCCTGAAAATAAATTACGTCAGACCTAATTAAGAACAAATGACGACATCGTGATTTTATTTCTGCGAGTTAAAATACTGGAAGGACGTCTTTCGTCTTGGTGGACACTAAAAAGTGGTCGCAGTGACGTAATACACGGCGTCTCGTCCAGAAACAGATGACGAACAACGCACGAAAGCAGTACCTGTGGGGCATGATCGTAACGTCCTCGGGTCTGTTCATCATTTTTTCACGTTCCTTCCTCAGTCGATTCTGTTCTTTTTCAGCCAATCTCTCGGCTTTCTGTTTCATCTTCTCGTAGTTCTTATTTCTCTTATCCGCATTCTTCTGTGCCTTCTCCTTCAACATTTTTGTTTTCTTTCTGCAAGCAAAGGTAGCGAGATTTTTAAGTTCTTTCCACACTTCACAAGGAAGAACTCACATATCCGAACCCTTTCCAAGCAGCGACACAAATCAGTTTTCAGAATTAACTCCAAGGAGGCTAGAAGGACCCACAAGACTAATTAAACGACTTCAAGGAACAGGGTCCTTATTAAAAAGTCGATCCCGACTCACGTTCTCAAGGAATCTTAAAATCTGCAGAACCCGAGGGTTCATTGCTATGGTCGTGAGAACTTTCCACTGGAATTTGTCCTGAGAACTTTCCACTGGAATTTGTCCTGAGAACTTTCCACTGGAATTTGTCCTGAGAACTTTCCACTGGAATTTGTCCTGAGAACTTTCCACTGGAATTTGTCCTGAGAACTTTCCACTGGAATTTGTCCTGAGAACTTTCCACTGGAATTTGTCCTGAGAACTTTCCACTGGAATTTGTCCTGAGACGACACCAGACCACACCCTCTCACGTAATTTCTCAAAAATGGTCTCTTCCCTTCAGGTTCTGTAACATTTTTCACACATCTCACCCCATGGCATGTTCCGCGCGTCTCACACTCGTTCATTTGATTTCCTACGCAATGTCTGGTGAACAGTACAAATTATAAAGCCCTTTTTCACGTAATCTCAAGTTTCTTGTTATTATGTCCCATCTCGTAGCCTCGAACACTCGAACACCTTCAAAATACGTTCTTTTCTTAGTACGAGATACCAAATTTTGCACAAATTTAAAGCAAACAGGTAACAAATTTACTTTCATCTCTAGCTTTTAAATGATGACAGTAATCACTAAACGCAATAAATAGCTACGAATTTCAAATATTACTAACAGGCAGATAAAATATTCTCAACATTCCTCAAACGTAATTTTAAAATTATTTTCAAACTTGGTTTCTTTAATTCGACCTTTTAAATTGTAGAGATAATGGGATGACTTTGAATAATTAATTGGACAGGACGTGGAAGGAGGCGGTTGTGGTCCATTTGAATGTAACATTCCATCATTTTACCAGAAAAGACAGGAAAATCACGAAGACCTTAGATGGGAGAGGCATATCGATTATAAGAATGCTAATAACCGGAAGCCTTTGGTAATACTAGAAAAGGGCTTCCTAGTGTTCTAGAGGACAAAGCTCACTTGTTGGAGGCCTCCTCCTTGGCCGCCACGCCGTCCAGAAAGCGTAGAATCTCGTCTCTGCTGTTCATGGCAGCCAATTCTTTTGGCGTATGGAAGTCGATGTCCAGAGCCCACACGTTGACGCCAAAATTGACGAGGAAAGTTACGCACGAGGTGTGTCCGCGGGCCGCAGCGAAGTGGAGAGCCGTGTTACCGAAGTGGTCTGCCTTGTCAGGGTCGCCGCTGCACACAGAGGAATGCGAGGTTTTACTTTAAGAATTATTTCCTCCACGATACGAGGTTTTACTCGATGTCACAGGTACCTGAAGTACTTCGTTGTTTGTCGTAAAAAGTATTTATTTATTTAGTAGTCAGAGACTAATTCATGCCAAGTTACGACGTCGAACAATTACTGCATGCATTTTCGATGGAAGGACATCTTGTCTGGAGGTGCAGACGTATCTCATATTGATAAAAGTTCCCCTCTCTCACCAAGCACCAAGTCTTTACGAGTGCGACATTCCATAATAAGTACAGGAAGGCTCAAAATCATGTTCCTGCAGGATTTGAAGTTTGACTGACGATGGAAAATGTAGATTTCCAGATGAAATCCCACACAGATCATTCAAAAGTAACAAAACAGATTTCGGAATTAATTTCATAAAAAACTATTTAACGGATGTCTGGCACTTCGTCATTTAAGCCAGTGGTATTCAACCTTTTTTGTTCGCGTACCCCCAGATATAATTTCTCTTCAACTTTGTACCCC